TGCACTTTGATCCGGCAGCGCGCACCCATCATGCTCTGCTCATGTTGCAGCCCGGGCTCAGTTTTGAGAGTGGAGGAAGGTCGCATCTGACGTCCGCGGACGCTGCGGGCATGGTGTGCTCACTAGGGCTTCGAAGCTGGTTACAGCGTGCGGTTGCAGTGCCTTAACAGCAATAGTTGTACTTTGGATGGAGTGAGAATAAGAACGAATGAAATGAGATGTTGCGTACGCTTCCACTCGCTGCTCACTCCAATCCAGTCGAGCGTTTGCAAGGAGTCGCTGGCCCGATGTGCGGCTATCTTCGGTGATGTGCTGGCCATCGAGTGGTCGGATGTGAGCACCGCGGGATATGTCTGTGGACCGCGAGGAAGCATTGCGGTGCCTGTGTCTGCCCTGGCTGTTCAGTTTAAAGTACGCGCATGGTTTGGCAGCATGCGTACGGTCATCATTCGGCTGCGGGTCCTGAAATTCCGTGGCACCGTCCATCGTTCGTTTCCACTGCAACGCCGAGAGAAGCATCTGACGTTGCCTATGGAGATGACACTGATGAACGCCGCAGCGCGGTGCAGTCACGGAGGCATTGAAGCTGGCTATGCGTGCGATTGTGGTGTTACGGTGAGGGATAGGCAAAGGGAGGGACGCCACGATGGAATTGGATGAGGTTAGACGTCTGCTACAGGGTCAGAATGAAAGCGCACGCATGCATTGAGCGTACGTGGAGGTATGAGCTAAGAGACGACACACGAAGCTTCCACCTCCTTTCCTGCATGTACAACCCTCTCCCATGCGCACCCCATCATGCGACTGACCGTCCGCCTCGTAACGATTTCCGCGCGCGTTGACTGTCGCAGTCAGCCTGGGTCGCCTTTGCGTGGAGCTCTTTGCGTGTTCGAGCTTGAAGCGAGAGGGCGGGCAGTGCGAACGCGAGGGAAGCTCGTCCTGGAGAAGGCGGGATCCAGTGCGCGCATGAACGATAGCAGCGCAGAGGACGAGCGCTGTGCAAAGGCAGGGCGCCTGACGAAAGACGAGCTGCTTGCAATGCGAGCGCAGGACAGAGCCTCCGCTCTCCCACGCGCATCCCATCAAGCACTGCCGACATATCGTTTCATACGATGTTACAGATCTACAAAGCCCTGACTTAATATTTGGTCCACATCCTGGTATCTAGAGTTGGCCTTTTCTCCGGAGATCACGATGCGGTTCAAGCAGACTGGATATGAACGATCGGAATAGCGGTTTGCTCCAGAGTCCGCGATGGCCTGATTGTGAACTGTCTCAGCGACTACGTGGTCCCGCTATATACGCCCACTTTTAAATGCTTCCGGCTCCGCTGCCGCCTCCGACCGACCAACGCCGTACCCTCCCAAGTTCCTCGTCCGACGTTCCTACCGCCAACGCCGCAGCTGGGAGAGCCGAGGAGCGTACCGACGTATCCCCCTGTGCTGCCCCAGGTCCGCTCGGTCGCCCAACCGCCTGCTATCGCCGGTCCGAGCAATCCAGCGCAGGGACAGGGAAGACATGACATTGTTGGGCAGGTGGTGTGGGAGGGCTCGCTGGCGTGGACGGGCACGGGCAATCGCACGGGTAGCGCGCAGGTCTTGCTGCTCGCAGGGAATTGCGTCGATCAGCTGTGAGTGTCTCGCGCGCGTGAGAGAGAGAGAGGGTCGCTGACTTGGTGTGCTAGGCGGGCTATGCAGTGGCCGAGCGTGTTTATGCTGAAGCCTTCGCAGCACCCCGCGCTTCCTCAGCAGACTTTGCAGGATTGGATCAAGCGGAATGCGGGGCAGCGTGCCATCGTGCATGTTATACCGCAGCCTCGGCTCGCAGACACGAAGACTAACGAGGAGAGCTTTGCCGCTCTCGCGCGGCTGCTATCTGATCAAAGCAGGGTATGCCCGCATTGTATTATATCTATACAGACGTGACTGAGCACTGTTCCATTTCATTTTGCAGTACGCGGTGGCAGCGTTCAGCGGGCCCAACGGCGAGAACCGCGACCGCATCCTTTTATTCCCCGGCAAACCCGGTCAATTCGTCAGCGTCGTCTTCCTAGGCCAGGAAGGCATGCCGGAGCTCCCACACGAGGTGTGCGGGATGCCGTTGTCGAAGATCCCGCCTCAGTTTGCGCTGTTGTTGTATAAGTTGCCGCAGGCGCGCCAGGCGATGTTGATGGAGCTTCCGCAGGAGAAGCGGGTGCAGCAGATACAGGC